ATAATCGAGCTACAGGAGGGAAGCCCACTGGGCCACGAGGGGCTCGGTCCCGACCCGTGCTCGGCCCACGGCCCAGCCAACGATCCCCCATCTTCGATCGACGATTTCGCCCAGGCCCTGCAACGGTGAATTAGGGTTAGCTACGGAAAGTTCTAGAACAACTTCACGCTATAAGTAGCGATCCAGCCTTAGAGGTAGAGGCATCTAAAAGTGGATTACATTTATGTTATTCTCTTGCTAACTTAAGCATCAGAGCCCGTGTGACTAGAGTCACACTGGTTTAGCTCGATTTGGTTTTGCAGGTACTAGTCCCGAATCAACAAGTTTGGTGGGTGCGAGGAGGAGGACCGGAGGATCGAAATCCACGCATCAACACATTCAACTACGATATTTGAAAAATATTTTTGAATTATATTATCTCCAATAAAATTTTAAATTTACGAAATGGGCCACTTACCATTAATTACTATTAATTCGTAACTTATATATTTAATTTAAATCTATAAAATATATTAAAAAGTTGCCATCTAAAAAAAACTTTGGTAAAATTTTAAATAACACGAGAAAAATATGTCTATAATCATATTTATATTTTTTGACTTTTTTTTATTATTATTGGGAAAACATGTCACTTACAAATTACCATTAATAATTATTTTTTAATTAATAACTTATATATTTAATTCTTTTAATAAATGTATGTATTTAATTTAGATTATAAAATGATTTGAAAGTTAAAATATAAAAAGTTTACTCACCTAAATGAGTTTGAATTATTTTTACCTTTAATTATATTATATTTAATTTAAGAATAATGAGATTTTTCGAATCTTTAAATATTTTTAATTTTAGTATATATTTTACACTATTATTAGTAGCGTACATTTAATATTTTACTTTTACTCATAATTAATTATATATATATTTTTAGTACAATGAGTAAGATTCATTGTAGAATTATAAATGAGTTGGAATTTAAAAGTTTTATAACTCTGTAGTTCTATACTGTTATAAAAATGAGTCTTTCTATCGTTCTTTCACCAACAATTTGACATATTGAGGGAGTATGAGATAATTAGTCAATTCATATTTTATATGTTATGTTTGAGAGATTACGATTCGATTTTGAAGTTGTGTGTTTGCTTTAAAACATATTTTGTTTTCAAATAAATAAATATATTTTGAGAAAGTTTGCCTATATAGACATCTTAATTTTCTTCTTTGTTTATTATTGTTTTTTTAACAATTAATGGTATTACTATTTGTCATTTTATTTATTGATTTTCCTATTAAATTAAATTAAATTAAAAATATTCCGTGCACCCCGTTTGGTAGAATACTAGTATACGTAAAAGTACAGACGTGAAAAAAACTTTTTTTTGGACAATTTTATCCTTAGTGTTAAAATTAATACCTAAATTATCCTTATTAAATTATTATTTTTATTTAAAATCCTTCACTCCCCTCCCCCTCCCACGTTGCTTCTTCTCTCCTTCATGTGAGTGAGGCCTTTTTTTTCCTTCTTTTTAATACCTTCATTTAAGTTTATTTATTGATTAATTATTTTATTTTTAAGTATAATCAATAACTGAACTTCAAAAGTTATGGTATTTTATATTGAAACTAATAATTAGGTGCATTCCTAATATTGAAATAACAAAAATATAAAATGTTTGAATAAAAGAAACTTTTGTGAATTTATTTTCTAAAAGTAATTTTAAAATTTATAACTACAGAAAATAAATTAAAAAAAACTACCCTATTTTAGAAATACTTTTGTACAATTTTATTTCTCCATAAATTTTAAAATAATTTTAAAAATATGTAACTCAGAATTAATTGTGAATAACTATTAAAATATATTAATTTAATTTAAATCATAAAATGTAATAGGAGAAGTTGTAATTTAACTTACATAAATGAATTAATTAATTCAATAATTATAACCCTTAATTATATTTATTTTTTAATATAAAGAGTTTTTGAAATTTAAAAAAGATTCACGACTCCTTCATGTCCTACCATTATAAAATGAGTGATATGTTTTTCATCTCCTATCAACATTTTCTCAATGGTTGACAACAACAAAATGATTTCACCGTCAAATTTTTGGAAGAAAAAAATTAGTTATATAATCAAAAGTCTGAGAAATAGACTTATTGCTCTTTAAGAAAATGGGCGCATCAGTTTTTTAGCAAAAGGTACGACAATAGAAAAAATAAATTCAATTTGAGATTTTTTTTTTTATAACAAAAAGCCATTATGATTTTCTTTTTTTGAAATTATTACTCATTCAAATAGAGAAAAAGGAAAATATTTTCTTGCTTTTTTATAAGCTAGGTAGGATTTCTCAATAAATAAAAAAAAGTTTTTCCATTTTCTAGATATAAAATAGAAATATACTTTCATATTTATTTTTTTTCCTTCAAAATATTGACTTAAAAGAAAAAAAAGGCTCAACATTTTTTAATACCATTTAATCTCACTCCAATTAGTGTGATTGGAGGATATATGTCATAATCTACTATTTTCTAACACATATTATCTCAACGTAACGTATTGCACTAGTAATATAAAACACACTTAGATCAAATAAATATATGCTATATTTGAAAAAATATATATAGTATAAATTTGATCTTACTATAGTAATAAAATCCTTATATTTAAAACATTGTTCGGTCTAAATCAGAGTGCCTATCTAGGCACTAAAAAAATCCATTATTGAAAAATGATTCTCACAATTTTCAATGTACCCATATTGATAAACCTTAGTATTCTATCACGAGCATTCAAATCGCTCGTTTAAACTTGATATGAATTATACTATATATTTTTTTTGTGATCTTTTAAAATTTTTGGGAGTTTTTAAAATAGATATGTCATTTATGTAAATACCTACAAAAGTCTATTAAAATCAATATATCTCAAAATATACACAGATATTTATTATGAATTTACTGCATAAAGAACAGAAAACAACATTCATTGGATTAAAAAAATAAAAAAAATGATTGATGAAAAATAAAAGCTATTAACGACTGAAAATTATTTGTGAGCATCAGATTTTCAGCCTATCCTCCGGCGAAGAAGAGCAATGGACGCTTCCCAAAACCAACACTTCATTCCCACCGAGAAACTTCCCTCAAAATCCACCTCCACCAATCCATCAAAATCCACTCTGAAAACTCTGTAAACAGCTCCTTTTCCTCGCGAATCGAATCGATCCACCGCATAAAGTTTGCCGCACTTCACCAGATGTTTGCGTTCCCCCGAATCACGCAGCGGAGGAGAAATTCGTTTCAACTTCATCGACTCTGAATCGATTCTGAAAACTGCTCCGCTTTTATCAATGGCATAAAATTGTCCTTTCCACGCAATCACATCGTCGCAGCAGTTGAGATTATTATTATTCTGTTCTTCAATCAGCGTCCATTCGCCATCCGGCCTCAATTTAACGAACCCTAACTTTCCGTCTCCGCGAAGTGCTAAAACGGTGCAGTCCTGGGCGTGGATCCAGGGAGAATCGGGAGACATTACGATTTTGTCGATTCCAGGAATGTGAGAATGGGGATCGGTAGATAGAAGAAAATACGATGTGTTTACTTCCAGAATTCGAAAGTCCAGTAAGTTAACTTTCCTCCGAACGGCGGATCCAGATCCAGGGGGGCTCTGTTTTCGAATCTTTGTCCTCATCCTCACCACCATTTTAGACCAGTCCTCTGTCACCATTTCAGACCAGTCTGCCGCGGAAGAAGAAGAAGTTTGACGGAGGGGACCGAGGCGATAGGTTATCTCTCGGATGAGTATAGCGCCTTTGATCGGAAGATCGTCGTCGTTGAGCGGTGGGATAGGGACAGAGAGCGGTACAAAAGGAGAAACGGCGTTCAAACGAGGAAGAGAAGCACGCCACAGACGGCACACGCTGCGACATCGGAGAACGTCGATGAACGAATCCAAGCACTTTGCGATCGCCGTCCAAAGCTCCGGAGGCAGATCGGACCACCGTACGCTGCCGCCGTCGTCCATCGGAGCAAAATACGGTATGTATATTTGATATAAATACACCGTTTTAAGAAGATTAGTTATTTTTTATACTATATTTTTAAGGAAGATAGTTACAGATTTACCATAATCTTTAAAAAAAAGTTACAGATTTACCAGAATCTTTAAAATCTTTAAGTACTTCCCTTAGAGTAACCGTATAGTCATTTTATTTTAACTCGTAACGATTTAGTCCCTGTAGTTTAAAGTGAGTAACAATTTAGTACCTATCGTAAATTTTTTTTATTAAAATTAAAAATCAAATTTTATCCTATAAAAATTTAATATTTCTAATTCATAAACATTTATCCATCCATACATACAAGAAACTTAACAAAAGAAAAGTTTTACGATAAGGACTAAATCGTTACCAACTTTAAATTACAAGGACTAAATTGTTACCTATTAAAATTAACTAAATTGTTATTTTAGCTACAAATTAAAGTTCAGAACTAAATTCTTACTTTACAGTAAAAGAGTTTTTTAACTTTAGACTTTCTTCTCATTTATTATTTATGGTTGTTGTTATTATAATTATTTACAAAGGTATTTTATTTATTTATTGTTGTTTCCGGTTAATGCCTTTAGTTTTTGAATTATGTGCACAATTTCTTGCCAAATTTCGATAATCAAATTTGATTTTTTTTTAATTGTAATGATAATAAAATCTATGCTAAATCCATTTTATTTTGAATTTATTTTTTTTCCAATTATAATATAATGGGATTGCCTTTTATATTACACTTGAGTTTGAATTTGATTGAGGTTTGGTTACTTTTATAAAATTTGTAACCTTTGAATTTTGATAATAAATGGTTAAAAAAATATAACAAGGTATTATATATTTAAATATGATCTATTGTTTTATTATTTAATATTTTATTTTATTTCCGTAAATACCCTTATTCAATGTGATTATGTTTTGCATTATTTTTTTCTGTTCATATTCTTACTTAGATGTTTCGGTAATTGAACCGAAAGGATAAAAAAAAAAGTCTAATTTTGGGGTTTTTTTAATCGCATCATCTTGTGACTATAATCCACAAATAATCAATTAATCCACAAAAAAATCCTGAAAATCAGAGTAAAACTCACCTAAATCAAAGGAAAAGTATAAACAAAATAGTTACATAAATAGCACAAAATAAACCGGTATTTTCAAATTTAAAATTTTATAAAAATAGCATAGTTCAATTAAAAACTTTAACTCAAATATAATACACTAAAAAAAAATTAAATTTATGCTATATTCGAAAGAAAAAGAAAATTGTAACATTTTTAAAAATGCATATTAAATTTATACTATATAATGTAATTTCTATATAAAAAAGAAACCAATAGAGATATAGTGGAATGTGCCTAATTTTTTTTTTTTTTTTACTTTAAAATTTAGACCAACTATGTTGACAAAATCATTATATTATTTATAATAACGACGTCGATCAAAGTAATAATCAAGAAAAACAAAATTCAAATGTATAAACCAACTTTAAAATAGACTGCTTGTTAAAAATAAAATTACTCAAGAATTCAAATATATTTACAAAGAAGGTAAAAAATCAGAAAAGGAATCCTCCAATATTTCTAAAAACTTCACCCAAAACTATTTGCAACTTTCTTTTGGTTTGTTCCAGCCTAAGAATTCTCACAAATTCAGATTGGCGAAGAGCTATTCCCAGTTGAGATGAACAAGAACAACTAAGAAGTTCTTCAGCAAAATTATTTTTCTTATCAATCTACGTTCAGCCCCAACGCCCATGGATGCATCATTTTTTTACTATAGTAAAAAGGTGAGAAAATGAAAAAATTTCAAATTAAAGGTTTACTATGAATGTAATATTTTTTAATTTTTTTCTTTAATTTTTATTGGTCATTAATATTTTGAGTACAATTTTATTATGGAAGAAGTTAGAATTTTTTTTAAAGATTTTTTTTTCTTTTATAGATATAATTTGTATTATTACCAGTAAGTGAGTCCGATGAGTTCTAATAGGATTTTAGTAGTTTTACCATAAAAGATTTATTTATTTATTTATTTATTTTGTTTAAATATTTTAAGCAGAGATGTGTTATGGAAGAAGTTATAAAGTTTTTTCTTTTAGAATTTTTTTTTATAGTATAATCTGTGTTATTATCATGAGTGTATGTGAAAGTATTTTATTTTTTATACAAATAATTTGTGCCATTTAACTGGGTGGGGGTGATTTTTGATGTAAATTAGAGGGGTGAGTTTTAATAAAGTTCATTTAATTAAAAAAATAATTTAGATATTATTTAAACAAATGTTTTAAAAAAGAATAATTTAGATATTATATAAAAAAATAAAGGTTATCTTTGTAAAAAAAAAAAAGTGAAAAGACTACTAGAAAAAAAAATTCTTTCCTTTCATATCTATGTTTGTTGTCTAAATATTAAATATATGCATGTTTATCTCTACTCACTTCTACATATTTTATAAGTATATACATTATATATGCAATAAATATATATTATAATGATATATGTTATGTTATAGTTATATATATTAGATTGTCGTAAGCTTAATTTTTTCTTCCATTTGGTTTTCTTTTAATCCTTATTTCATTTTAGATTTATTTATTTAGAATATGATTTTATTTTAAAATTAATGTGATTTGACAATTAAAATGATGGGACACTTTATTTTTTTTAATATTTTCTTTATTGAAAACGATTCCATTCATTTCTAAAAAATGGATTCAACTTTGGGTTTACTGTAATTTATCAAATGTGTTTGTTAGAATCTTAATATAGTAGCCGGCTATTTGTTTAAATTTTGCAAACTTTTAGTTAAATTTCAAAAATCTCTTAAAAATTGGGTATCCCAAGATGATTTCGAGATCATCGAACAAACTTTAGGATTTGATGTGGTCCCGACTACCGGTCTTTTGGAGTAGTCATAGCTTGGCAATATAATGATTTCTCTATTGAAAAAAAAAGATGTTGTGTCAGCTGACTGAAATCTTCTGAAGTCAACTAAACAAGCATAAACTGATGGCAAAGCGTGCATAAGTGGTAATTGACATATATCTCCAACTAAGAGATTATAAGTTCAATCTCCCACCCCACATGTTCTACTAAAAAAACTAAAAAGACGGATAATTATAGCTCATATTTAATCTCATAAACAATCGTAATAAATCCATAATTATAAAGTAAGACCCGATCTAAAATCAAGGGCTTACAATGACTTATTACAAATGATTAATTTGAAATCGACCCTAACAAAAATACAATCTCAAATACAGGTATCATACTATCATATAAATGTTTTCACGTCATTTTATAATTAATATTTGTTACTGTTTTTTTTCTAATATGATTATTAATGAATTTTCTATTATCTAACCATAATCATAATTGTTCAAATAAATGATACCTTGGTAAAATTGGTAAATAAATTTTGAATATGAAAAAACTGATTCGGGGGACTTTGGAATTGTTCAAATAATTATACTTATAGCATACGACTCTCATGTTCAAAATTTTCTTGGACTTTGAATTTGTTGTTCTTCGGAAATACTACAGGTTTACCAGCTTTGAAACGAATGTTTTTTTTTTTAATTATTTAAAGTATTAATGTGTGATTTTCTTTCTTTACTATTTTAAGTCCACAATTTACTTTTTTTTTTTTTTTAATATTCATGAACATTCAAGCCAGTTTATGCAAACTTCGATTAATCTCACGGGATAACCACCTGATCTTATAACATGCGGTGCTGGAAAATACATAGGAGTTAATTCCCAAAGTAGGTGGTCATCATGGAGTTTGAATCCAATCCCTCTCACTTCACCTTAGCCCCTCTCGATTTAAGTCTAATCTACTCAACTAAAAAAATTGATTTTTCTGTGGCCTTTGTTTTTTAAAAGAAATTTTTTCTATAAATACATGTTTTTTTTTTCTTTCTCTTTACCGAACACTTCTTCTCCTTATCTTCTTCTATTTTCTTCTAGGTAATTGTAGTGGTTGTTACAACTCTTAGCTACGACTGCACGTGTCTTGGAGTTTTGTGTTAACCTTAAGGGTGAATGACTGAATCTCGGTTGCACCATGATCCAGTCAAAATTTTACTTTTAGGATAGTGGTTCTTCCAACAATCTTAAAATAAAACCTATTTATTTTCCACCTGTTTACGCAAAGAATTGCACAACGCTGTTAAACGAACCAAACTTGAACCCGGTCCCCGGTTTGACCTGAACTCAAGAGTGAACCTGCACAAGAGGACAAACTCTCCGACGCTCAAGTCAGTGTAAGTCGGGCTCAATATAAAGTTCGAGATGAAATTCGATACCTGAGCAGGAAATGAAGCCCTCTATTTATAGGTGGCGGGTCCGACAGTACTCACGACCAGCGATTACCTTTGTCCTTTTTCAAGTCGAACCTGTCGGGTTTGAGCAGATCGAACCCGTCCAGGTCGGACCGGGGCTTTTTACACTTAGCCTTGTTGATGGGGGAACCCAATCTCCTCGGTAGGTTCGAGGTGGACCTGGGGTACGTTACTCCTTGAACACCAATGAGCGTCCTCCACGTGTCCCAGGTATTTTTACCCCCAAACATTGGCCCCCTCTCTGTCTGGTCCGATCTCGATCTGGCAGAGAAGTTATCCGACTCAATTTTAGACACGTGGAGACTTCTAATTCGCAGGGAAAGTATGACCGTTGTGGAAGGTGTTTCGACTTTCCAGGCTGTCGGAGTACTTGAGTATTCCGTCGTTATGAATTTCGAGATGATCCTGGCCGCTCGTTCTTTACACGTGTACGGCGTAGAGGTTTTTCTGATTAACTATAAATAGTTCCGAGACTTCAGGTCAAACCTTACGTTCCTTGAATTTCTGAAGTTCGATCTGAAACCAGCTCGAACCTTCCGTAGGTCAGTCATTCTCGTTTTACTCTTGTTTTCGAATATGGTAGTTTTCATGTCTTCCCCTTCCAGTAGTGATAGTTTAGGTAGTGCAGGTCGAATTATAAGCAGTTCACCCCCAAAACCTAGTGACTCTGGGGGGACCTAGCTCTTAGGTTAGAGTCCGAGCTGGAAGAGATAGAAAATTTTAGGTTTTCTGATGATGGGGAGAATAGTGACACTTCCACCTCGGACCTGGGTTTGGAATACCCTTCGAAGATGCCTGAACATTACCTCGGACCCCTCCGTAAGGGGTTTAGTATTCCCAATGACATCCTCCTTAGGATCCCGGAGGAAGGG